AGCATCAGCGTGTGTATGGGTGGGTACCTGTGCATGCTGTGAGCCTGAGTGCCTTGAGGTATCTCTCGATTGTCCATGCACGGATCTGTGATGTTCTCCCACACTGGATGCAGGCCTTCCTCGGCTTGATGGTACTTGTCTACCTGAATCTTCTGATTGACCTTCACTATCGCTTGCCTGACTTACACTGGTTTCTGGATGTCTTCTGCTGTGGGATTCAGATGATGGTTGTCTATGTGCAGACACTGAGTGTCTGGAGCTGTCTCCAGACTGCTCGTGGGGGGCTCCTTGCCTCTCTCTTCTCCTGACTTCTGATTGTCCTTGGGTAGCATCATTGTGTGTATGGGTGGGTACCTGTCCACGCTGTGAGCCTGACTGCCTAGAGCTGTCTCCTGACTGTCCATGCATAAATCCATGTTGTTCTCTCACACTGGACCCAGGGCTTCCTTGGCTTGATGCTGCTTGTCCAATGGAATGTTCAGATTGTCCTTCACTATCACTGTCCTGACTTACACTGGGTTCCCGATGTCTTCTACTGTCAGATCCAGATGAGGTTTTTCCATGTGCGGGCTTTGCACTTCTGGAGGTGTCTCTAAATTGCTCATGGTGCACACTTCGTCCCTCTGTTGTTCTCGTTGCTGATGTTCCTTGGGTAGCATCAGCATGTGTATTTGATTCCTGTCCTTGCTGTGAGCCTGATTGCCTATTACTTTCTTCTTGCTGCCCATGGGTGGATCTTTGTTTTTCTGCCAAGTTGGACATAAACCTTCCTCGGTTTGATGCTCTTTGTTTTCCTGAATCTTCCAATTGTTCTCCGCTATCACTTGCCTGTGTCACACTGACTTCATCATGTCTATTTGTCCTGGATCCTGCTGTTGACCGTCCGTGTACAGGTGCTGAATCTGTAGAGTGTTCTGATGAATCTGCTTGGCGATCATCCTTTTTCCCTCTTCTGCTTGATCTATACTGTTCATGAGTGGATGTATCCGTTTGATTAGACCCCAAATGCCTAGAGATGTCTACAGACTCTTCATGTGTTGATCCTTGTTTTCCTCTCATGGTAGAATCCACACCTGGTGTCTTGTTTTCGTTTATACTTGAAATGTGTCTTTTTTCTTCTAGATCAGTAGAAGTTGATGTGTTGTTGTGTTTTCCTGTATGGTGGTGTTGTTTATTTCCACTTTTCACATTGTGACCACATGGAGATGAATTATGTCTTCTTTCTTTTGTTTTGGAGGTAGATCTATGTTTCTTTTTATCTGTTCTCACAGGACTCCTTTTCCCTTTTCGTCCATCTCTTCTTGATAAGCTGGATCCCCTTCTTTCTTCCTCTTCCTCTTCTTCCTCCTCTTTTTCAGCTTCTTCATTTTGATTTTTGTGAGCATGCTTTTTGTGCTTTTGACCCGATGCTCGCAAGTTCTGTCTTTTCATAGAATCGTAGTATGCTTGAGCCAACTTGAATACCATCAGGAAAAACTCAGCAAAGTCCACTTTCTGGTTGTGGTCTATATCCAGCACATGCATGAAGACATCAGCAGTATCTGGATCGTCTGGGTTCTGTATACAGGGAGACATAAAGGGAACACTGATGTGACTGGCTCATTTCCTCAGGTAAATAACTGAAAATGAATTGTGGCAATGTGAATCCCTGGTATTGAAAGGTGTAATTCAATCAGTGTGAGAGTTTAGTTTGTGTGTCAACTTGACTTGGCCTGGTTGAGTGGCTGGGCAGCTGGATGTAGTATCCCCCATGGTGAGACTGGTAATCAACTCCATGGTGGAATCTACTGTGAGCAGCTGAGTACCTGGCTTAGGGATGTGGTCTGCTTCCTGTATATAAGGAGAAGCCTTGGGAATGGTCTCTAGCTTGTGGCATGCTTGAACTCTGCATGTAGCCATGTCATAGTTCAGCAGCCTGCCATGCTCTGCCCAGCTTAGGACTTTCAGTGGACTTAAATTAATGGCCTGCCATGTGGTTTGGTAACATCAGGACTGTGCCTTTTTACTTGTCAATCTTGGGCTTGTCAGTCTCAGCAGCCAGCAGCTGTCTGAGTAAAGAAAAGCCTCTAGCTTCAGTGGGCCGGGAGCAGGAGGCAGAGCTGAAGCCCAAGATTCAGATGCTTTCACACAGCCCCTAGAGCCTGGCACCTTGAAGTCGGACTTAAAGCTTCCAGACTGTAAGAGGGTAAACTCCTGTTTGTTCAGGCCATCCCATTTGTGGCATATTCTTGACAGAACAGCACTAGGTAACCAAAACAGTCAGTATGTGATTAATATATATTAATTTTGTTAATCTTGTTTAACCTATTTTTACCAGGTAGGTAAATATAGGAACTTAGCAAAACAAAAAGTATTGAAGGCTTGTATGCTATTTGCATAGAGTTGTTATGAGTCAGAACTGACTCAATGACAGTTGGTTTGGTACAGATTTTATAGTGTAAGTGCCTCTTTTTCTTTCTTGAAATATCAGTATTTTCTATAATTTACAATTGAGTTATCTTTTAAATATACTTTCTTAACTATCTTGAGATGGGTAAGAATATTATGAAGAACTAAGTATTTGTGTTCATTTATTTTTCTGCAAATATTTACATTGTTTTTCTTCCAGAGTAAATTTTGTTTGTGTGAATGTGTGCATAAGTGTGTGTGTTTGTATAAAAGGGAAGAGAACAAATTCTACCTGTTTTGGAACAAGATTCACTCTATTCCTATTGCAAAAGAAAAAAATTCACAAAGAGTTCACAATAATCTTCGTTCAGGTTATTGATGAAGAGCAGAAGTGCTATATACCATTTTGGCAAGTAGCTATTACCTTCAGGATTGGCCGAAACTCTGTTTCCAGAAGTTCCTTCAGCTCTTTTTTGCTCAGTGTTTCATTTTCCTTATCTTTACTTGAATATTGATGGAAAAGGTCAATGATGGCAATGATATTTTCCAGTAGAGTAGACATCTTTTGGAAAATATATGTGAACCTAAAAAGGAGAAATAAAAATGATCTTGTATTTTTTTTTAATTCTAGACTTTTCATAAGGAAATTTTACATTTTTTAACCCACATCTTCTAAATAGTTCAACTTAAATAAAGGAAAGTGGCTATTAAAAACTTCTCTCTAGTATCTACATAGTGAATAAATCAGTATAGAATTTGACTGAATTACTAAACTTGCCTGTTTCTTGGTCTTGAAGCCATCCACAGCAGAGTTTGAGTTGGCTCACATTCCTTAGTATGTTCTAGGTAAGATCATCCCTCTTGCTGACCTCACTATTACTCATAGTAGGATTTGATAAATATTAATAATCAGAAATAGGAAAACTTACTTATGCTAATTTGCTAAAAATAATTTCTTTTAAAGCTAATTTTATAAATGATCAATTTGTTGAGTGATAGTTCTTTAAAAGATAGTTTGCTAAATAACCAAGACACCCAATGAAAATTCAGTTTACTTATATTTTTTAAAGAATTTAATAAATTTTGCAATATTCTTAATAGATAAAACAGTTTTAATAACTTTTTAAAATTATAAAATTATATTTATTGACTGGTTTTCATATTATCATTCAAGGAATAGCATCTCAAAAACTCTCCCTTAAATCAACATTCTGTTTTCCACCAGGATGCCCCCCTATATCTTACTGTCCTAATTAACTGTTTCCCTTTACAGCCAAGATTCTTGGAAGAGTTTTTGGTGCTTTTTTTCCTTAAAATGTTTACGTCACACATTCTTGTTAATCCACCTCTCTCAATTTTCTGTCTTTACCATACAACTAAAACTGCATTGTGTCAAATTATCTACTATCTCCAAGATGCTGAATGCAATGGTCAATTCTCCATCATTGTCATTGTACTTAACTTCTTGGTAGTGTGCAGTAGAGTTACCCATTTTCTACCCTTGAAACCTTTTTGTTTCTTGGATCTTATGATACAGAACTGTCCTGATAGTCCTCTTAGGTCTTGGCCGCTCCCTCTCGTAATTCATTGCTAACTTCTCTTCTGCTCAGTCTCTAAAGGATGGAGAAGACTATGGCTGTGTCCTGGATCTTCTTTTTTACATCTATGTACTTTTCTTAGACAATCTAAACACAACACAACTGAATCCCTTGGCTTCAGATGCCATCTCTCTGGTGACTTCTAAATTTATCTTTCCAGTCCTGATCATAAGATTTAAACTCATTTGCTCACTCTTCCATTCATTTAAGAGTTAGGCACTCTTTTATGCTCTGAGGATACAGTAGAGATCAAGATCGATAAGGTGCCTATTCTTAAGGGGACAATAAGCAAAGAAATAAATAAAACAGACATGATAAATGATATATGTAGAATTAAAACAACAGTGTTGTGATATACAGTGCCTGAAGTACTTTAGGTTGATCATGGAAGGCTTTATGGTTTTAGTATTTTAGAAGAAATACTAAAAAGATGATGCTAGTTGGAAGCATAGAAAGGCAGGAAAAAATTAAAGAACAATTAAAAAGGTAAATGTGTTGGAGAATTTAAATAGATATTGACTACATAAAACAACAACAACATCTTTTGGGATTTAAGTGGATAGAATTAAAATGCATAACAATACCAGATAGTACTTGACAGGGTAAATGGAATTCAAGTATTGTAGGATACTTGAATTGTCAGGTACTGGTTAATGTACTTTTTATAATGTTGTTGTTGTTGTTGTGTAAGTCAAGAATGCTGCTTGCATGTAATCTCCAGGATAACTATGAAAAGAATAGTAAAAGAATGTATAACTAATAAGTTAATACTGAAGAAATTTAGGGAGCTCTGATGGCATAGTGCCTAAGGCATTTGACTGCTAACCAGAAGGCTGGAGGTTCAAACCCACTAGCCACTCCTCAGAAAGAAGGTTGGGCAATCTACTTCTGTAGTGATACTGCCTCAGAAACCGAAGGAGGGGTCGCTATGAGTCAGATCCGACTCGATGGCAGTGAGGTTTTTTTTGTTTTGGTTTTGGGGGAATTTAGTGACAGATATGTAACTATTCCAAGATAGGCAAGAAAAGAAAGAGAAATATAGAACAGATGGGATAATAGAACCCAATAGTGATATGGTAAATTTAGGCCAAATACTTCAGTAATAACATAGAATATAAATGGGCTAAATACTCTAATTAAAAGGCAGAGATTGTCAGACTGTGTTTATGAAAAAGCCTAACTACATACTACATATAAAAGATATGCATTTAACGTGATCAGAATGGTTGAAGGATAAAAGGATGAAAAAAAATATATGCCACTAAACACTAAAAAATCCTGGTGTTGCCATATTAATATGTGATAGAGTAGACTATAAGGTAAGAAGCGTTACTAGAGGGATACTTCATAACAATAAAAGTGATTTCACCAAGAAGATATAATAAAAGATCTGAATTGCTGTGCACTTAATAACATAGCCTCAAAATACAAAAATGGACAGAATTTTAAGGAGAAATAAACAAATATACAATCATAGTGGGAGATTTTTAACAATTTCTCTCAGTAACTGATATAGCATGTAAGAAAAAAAATATCTGCAAGAATATAGAAAATTTCCTCAAAATAATTAACAAAAGCATTAATTAGCTGTGGTAGTTAAGGTTGTGTGTCAACTTGACTGGGCCTGGTTGAATGGCTGGGCAACTGGATGTAGTTATTCCCTGTGATGAGACTGGCAGTCAACTCCATGGTGGGATCTACTCTACAAGCAGCTGAGTAGCTGCTTTAGGGATGTGGTCTGCTTTCATATATAAGACACAGCTTTGGGAATGGTCTCTAGTTTATGGTGTGCTGGAACCCCGCATGTGGCCGAGTCGTTGTTCAGCAGCCTGCCATGCTCTGCGGACCTTAGGACCTTCAATGGATTGAATCAATGGCCTGCTGTGTTGTTTGGTAACATTGGAACTGTGACTTTTCACTTGTTGACCTTGGGCTTTTCAGCCTCAGCAGCCAGTAACTTGTCTGAAAAGAAAAGCCTCCAGCTTCAGTGGACTGGGAGCATGAAACAGAGCTGAAGCCCAAGGTTGAGGGGCTTTCACCCAGCCCTTAGAGCCTGGCACTTTGAACTCAGACTTCTAGCCTCCAAAACTGTAAGAGAATAAACTCCTGTTTGTTAAAGCTATCCCATTAGTGATATTTTCTGTTTAGAGCAGCACAGAGGTATTCCTAACAACTGCAGAATACACTTCCTTTTCAAATGCATATGAAACATTTAAAATTAACCATATGCTGGATTACAAAGCAAGTATCTACGTATTTTAAAGGATTGAAATCATACAGAGTTTACTCTCTACAATAGAGAAATTAAGCTAGAATTCAATAATGGAAAAATAATTAGAAAATTCCTTAAATGTTTAGAAATTAATGAATAACTTATAAACAACCAATAGATTAAAAAATAAGTCACAATGGATATTAGAAAATATTTTGAAGTAAATGAATATGAAAAGCAAAACTATGGGACACATTAATTCCATACCCAGTAGGAAATGTATAATTTAAATGTACATATTAAAAAAGAGGAAAGGATGAAAAATCAATAACCTAAAGGTCTGTCTCAAGAAATTTGTTAAAGAACAATAAACTAAGCCCAAAGAAAGTAGAATGAAGAGGTAATAAAGATAAAAGCTGAAATGAATAAAATAGAAAACAAAGTTAGAGGATCAACAAGGCCAGGATTTAGTCTTTGAAAATCTAACAAAATTGATATGTACTGCAAGATTAATTACAAAGAGCAAAGGCATAAATAGCCAATATCAAGGAAGTAAAAGTTATATTGTTACAGATTTTACAGACATTAGAAAGATAACAAGAGCATAGGATAAAAAACTTTATATCAATCAACTTGAAAATTTAGATGAAATAGACTTATTTCTAGAAAGCATATTTACTAAAACTGAATCAACAAGAAATAGAAAATTTAAGTAGTCCTATATTTACTAAGGAGCTCTGGTAGCATAGTGGTTAAGGCGCTTGACTGCTAACCAGAAGGCTGGCAGTTCAAACCCACCAGCCACCCCTCAGAAGGAAGGTTGGGCAATCTACTTCCGTAGTAATACCACCTCAGAAACCCAAGGAGGGGTCGCTATGGGTTGGGTCTGAGTCGATGGCACATAACAACAACAACAACAACAAATATTTACTAAATAAATCAAATCTTAAAACATTTCCAGTGGCATAAAAACTGCAGGTCAGTTGGCTTCACTAGTGAATTCTATTCATTGTCTGAAAAAAAAAAAAAAATAACCCTAATGATGTTACACAGATTGCTTCAGAGAACTGGAATAGAAGAGACACTCATTTCATGAATCCAGCATAACCTTGATACCATAACTTGACAAGAATATGAAAAGAAACAGAATTTTCATGACAATTTCTTTCATGAATATAGATGCAGAAACCTAAAAGAAAATGCTAGCAGACTGAATCTAGCATTGTGTAGAAAGAATATACATCCTGCTTAAGTGAATTTTATTCCAGAAATTCAAGTTTGGCTTAACATTTGAATATCAACAAATTTTTAACAACAGAATAAAGGAGATAAACTATATGGACCTCTCAATAGATGCAACCAAATAAACAAAAACCCAACTGATAAAATCTAACATTAATTCATGATTTATAAATAAAATATATCAATTATACCTATCAAAATGTTATAATAAACACCACACTTAATGGTGAAATGCTGGAAGTTTTCATGCTTAAATTTGGAAATGAGATCAGTATGCTTGCTATCATCCTATTCAACATTGTACTGGAGGTCCTAGCCAGAGCAACAAATTAAGAAAAAGAATTAAAGATCTGACAGAATAATTGGAGAGGAAGTAATAAAACTGCCATTACTCACAGAATAATGTGATATTTTTAATGTAGAAAATCCAAAAGGAGGTACAGCTAAACTATTAGAATAAATAAAATTAACAATGTTGCTGGTTATAAGATCAATATACAAAAGTCAATT